GCGGATTATCTTCGAGGGAGATTAATAGGGGAGGCGGGCTGCAATAATAATCGTTTTGTTTGATGTGACAACTCTGATAGGCGTTGATTTACTTACAAACTGATAGGCTTTTAATTGAGCGCCTCCGCCGAGCCAGAGATGAAAGGGAAGCGGCGGTGAAAGGCGGCCCGCCTGCCCTCCGGCCTCAATACTGATTAGCCATCTCGACAGTGAATAGTTCAAGGCATTTTCAAACTTTTTTCCACAGCTCTCTTCCCTTCCGCCTTCTCTCCTCCTCAAATATCTACCATGCCCACGCCTTCTTTTTTAAGAGAAGACAAATCATGTCCATTGTGTGCAAATAAAATCCGCAGGACATCCATGCCTACCACCTTAGAGGGTTGGAGGTATTGGGCCTAGCCTGCAGTAATTAATAACCCCCCACCTACATAGCTTGCACAGCCTTCAGGGATTTGGCCTCCCTTGAAAGGTGCAAGGGCTCAGATACTGGTGCCTCCCCAAAGCCGGTGGAACACAGGCTCCCTAGGCGCCCCCGTGCGCTCTGACCTGCAGAGTTGAGTTTTGAGTCAAGTAAAAGCAGGCGGCCAGCGGCGAGAGCTCACGAAACACTGCGCATATCCATGAGCACATGTAATCATTCTGGAGCAAGAGCCGTTGCGCGGTTCCACTAGGTTTGAAGGGCTGGAGCGTCCTCCCTTGAACTGCCCAGTGCAAAGAGAAATCTACTGGATTTGGAGGAAAAGGGATACACTGAGGACGCCCCAGGCCTGCGCTCCAGCTACCCTTAGTTCTGTCCACAGCGCCAGCTTCCCATGTCCAGGCCTATCATAGATGCCAAAATGGAAGACAGTCCAGGGCCCAGCTTGCTACTCTGGGACCACAGTAGTTGGCCAGAGGTGACACCTTCACAGTCGGTGACACAGGCACTAACACCCTCAGGCTACAAACGGCTTCAGACACATTGCCCGGCAGAGGGTTTTTTGGAAATGCCACCCTGGCAAACTGTACTCTGGGACTCTTGTCCCAGAGATTATTCAGGCAACCGTGATCTTGCTACTACGGTCTCACTGACTTACCTTCTTCAATTGTCGCGGGGACACCACAAACCTTGCTGAGTGCAGGTGTTCACAACACACACACACACACACACACACACACACACACACACACACACAAGCCCCAAGCACAAACCACCTCTCCTCTCCAAATTAGCATTAATCGAGTTACCAGCTCATTAACTTTGCCAACCTAAGGAATCAAGGAATGAAATCAAAACGGCATGAAAGAATACCTCCGAGAAAAATTCTAAAACTCATCCCCACCCCAGAAAGTTCTCATTACCCGTGTGGAGTGGGAGACAAAAAAACAGAAGGGAAAAGAGAGACTGGGGTGGTGTGAGAGGAATGCGCTAGCAAGCCGAAGGGAAGTACCCAGCCAGACCCCTGCAAGTACCCGGTTCAGATCAGGGTGCGCGATGGTCAGAAACCGGTCTCCAGGCTCGGCCCCCGCCCCTGCGCAGGGCACAGATCGGCTCCCAGCTCCCAGCGCTCCTAGCCCCACCATTTATCAAAAGGACTTGACAACAAAAGAAGAGCTTTGCGGAAAGGGGGGTGGGGGCTCAAAATCTCTCTAGTTCCTCGGAGGAAGGGGGTGTGTCCTCCTCTTACCCCCTTCTACTTTCTACGAGTTTCTGGAGGTTACCCTCGAACTGGCTCCAGACGTTACGGAAGTCCAGAGAATTCGCCCAGCTGCACAGGAGTGCATACACACTATGCTCCCAGATCCAGGTACAAGGCGGCACGCACAGCGCCTCCCTCTTCTTTCCAAACAGCCCGAGTGACGGCGCAAATCGAGGGGAACGCAGCAGTCCCGCTCCGCTTCCCTGGAAGAACCGGTTCCCACAGGCAGCCGCCCCTCCCTCTCGCGTTCCTTCCCTGTCCTCTCCCAGCACAGGTCAGTCCTGTCTGGACGGTCCACTTTATTCATCGAGCAGCCCCGGGCAGTCCCGGCTCCCAGGACTGTCGGGGTGGTGGCGAAGGACCTGGAGAGGAACACAACGAGCCTGAAACCTGTTTGCCTGTGCACATGGCCAGGCCAGGCCTCTTTTCTGGAGCGTTTCAACCCTCGCTACGAACCCGGGTCACAGAATTAAAAAGGGTTACCCCACCAGTAACCTCCAGGACTTGGGCTACATTGGTGGTGTGGCTCTTTGGAAAGAAGTTCCAGAGTTGAGGGTCGGGACACTACCGAGGGCGGCGGCCGGACTTCCTCAAGTTACACGCCCTGGAGGGATTATCCCAGAGAGGCGGG